GGGTGGTATTGGTAGTGTTGAGATATATAAAACCATTAATGTAACCTTACCCAATAGCTTAAGCTTTTGGGTTGAATTGGTTCTTTACATGGTATCAAAGCCTCGTGTCCCGGGTTCGATCCTCGCTGCCCCCCACTTTATTTCAAGTGGAATTTCTTTGTTCGCACAGGTAGGTGGGCCTGTGCATTGTCCACCCTTCAAGCCCAGTGGGCTCTCGTGTGAGGGGGTGTGTTGAGATATATAAAACCATTAATGTAACCTCACCCAATAGCTTAAGCTTTTGGGTTGAATTGGTTCTTTACAGGTAGTTTGCAGGAAGTTATAATAGGTTCACATCTCTGTGCTGTCATTGTGGCAAAAACAAAAAAGAAAAAAAGACTCTGTCAATCTATTTATGCATCCCCATCCAATAAATGTGTACTTTGACAGGTTATATAAATTAGGGTGATAAAGATTGTTTGCTCCAGAACTAGTAATTAATTAGGTTGGGTACAAGAAGTAACATTAATTAGGTTGTGATGTACTTACAGAAGCCAAACGGCATTCAACAACCCTATTATTATAATTTGTGGCAGCGGTAACAGCCTTCTGAGACTCTGCCAAAGAATGGGCTATTACAAAAGTCCCCCCAGCAGGAAGTTGCACATCTGTTGCACGAATTGGGTTGAAATCTATCAGCTCTGCAAACCCAGTCTTGCCCATGACAGAGATTGCCTGTCAAGTAAAACAAGAAAAAAGAGAAAAGGGATAAAAAAATACGTAAGTCCAGGTAAAATATCAGAATGCCCCAAGATAAGCAACACAATTGGTATCAATGCATTGGCTAAAATCCTATAACCATGTAATAAAATTATTCACAAAAAATCTATAATGAGAGCAGTTGGAAGCAGAGTAAGGCTCTATCGGTTTAATGCAAAAGATTTCTACATTGAACTGACTATCGTTTTTAAATTGAGGCCACAAGCATAGTGAATTACAAGTAATCAGCCTTAAAAATTAAGGAAATTAACTAAACAATCTGTATCACTTCCAACCTAGAAAACAACTCATTTTGAATATCCAGAACTGTAGACAATATAGCTTGTGTTTCAAAATTCATACTTCATAGAATTGTAAAGTGAAACCAAATAGAAAATAGTGAAATTACTTAACATAGTTTCATTCAGAATGATGGATCACAACAACAATATATACACAACCGAGACACTATAATTTGAGTGTTATTTAAAAACATTAGTCAATCAATGCCAATTAGCAAGAAGCTACAATGCAGTATGTATGAGGACCATTCCGTATAAAGGTGATTTGGAGGGAAAGACCATACTTTTATAGGTAAAAGGGACACATACACATTAAAATTATAATAGAACATATCTATAATAAAAGATATGCACAACCTGATCCATCCCACCAGCTTGTGTCCCGACATGTCGTTCACATTCACAAGTGACTTGTGCAATTTCTTTCTGTCAACAATATATGATAATATATATTAGAAACAGAATAAAAAAGTAAATAAATTAAATAAATTTCAAAACAAAGACATGCTTTCAATAAAAGCAATGGAGTGACTTGTCCATCGAGAAAGTATAATCATAATGTATTTCAGACTTCTACAAACAAAAGTTAAGGTTAAATTATTATATAAAGCTGTAGAACTTTAGCTTGTTCAACTAACAAGAATTAAAAAAATTCAAAAACAAATAAATAATGGAGGAATAAAGATTTACAAAACATTAATTCCAACAGTCACAAATAGTTTGAAATAGGGACTAAATCTGATATTCCAAGGGTGGGCACATAAGATTTCAATTATCCTATCATGTCAGTGGTGACACTGATATCAGATTTTGATATGCTGTTTAATTACGCCACATCTAAAATAAATAAATAAATTTTCTTTTATTACCTAACAACACACAAAATTCCAGTAATATTTTCTCTTCAGTGTTGTGTATAATTGCTATAATTTTTTTTAAATCTTACAAGCTCCATACACAAATAATTTATCCATGCAACAGTTCAGCATGAGTTGAAATAAATTTGTCACTCAAAACACAAACTAGTGCATATGTTCCAGCCCACAAAGCACACCTTTGGGAAGTTCACATCAAAAGCAGCCATAATAGCAATTGTGGAAGAACAAACAAACGCAGCAGAGCTTGATAGTCCAGAACCTGTAAAAAAATAATCAAATATTGTCCATTTAATTTAACCCCATCAACAAACAAAAGACATGGCTCAGTCATCAATAATAGAGTACCAAAGATAATGATTAAGGTTCACTTAGAGGTAAATTTGGATATCCTTAGTGGCACCATTCTAATTAAAAACAAAGAAGCACACCTGTCGGCACCGTTCCATCAATAAGAACATCAAGTCCAACTGGTTGACCTACATCCACTTTTTTCAATTTTGCATAGTCATAGAAACCTTTGTACCTACAGAAATCATATTTTCAATTAATACTGAAATAAACAACACTACAGTTTTTTCTTGTTCACTCAATATATATATATATATCACTAACATCTATCCCTGAGCTTCTTCACCATATATAGCAGTCAGCAGATCATTTCGCATTTCACTCTACAAATACTAAATACATAATTTAAAAACTTGCCAGAACTTCTTATAATTTAATTTGAAAAGTAACCTGTATGCACATTATATGCGACTAATGGCTCGAATGAATACAATCTGTATCATTTTGGCAGTACTAGGCAAGGTTTATTAAAGAGAAAAAATGAAATACATCACCCTAAAATTGCAATTATACATTAAAACAACCAAACAAGAGGAAATGGAAAAAGAAATATGAAATAAACTCACCCACAGATAAAATAATGGCCCCATTTGTGATTCTTCAAGTCGAGTTCCTGCATGAAAAACAAAGTCAGAGTATATATTAACAAAACAGAACAATGTCACTCATCGACAAAATGAATCATAAAGAATAGCAAACATGCATTCTCAGAAGTCAGAACGGTTTTTATTATTAAAACACACACACACTCACATAAGCATTTGAGGATCTACCTGGTTGGGATCAGCAGGATAAGTGCAAATGGAATATTTTGCATCATTCACGTTAGCAATCCTAAGAACCTTTTCGCCTTCATTTTTTCTAATGGCGACGATCGTATCTTGCCGAATAGCCATAGGCAACACCGAATACCCCTCATAGTCAATGTGCTCCCCGATCAAGTTCACTCTCCCTGCACAAACAACACCAAAAGTAAATAATTTTTTTTATTTTATTTTATAAAAACACCGCAAATCCATCGCATGATTTTTCATCTCTGTAATAAAAATAAATAATATAACCAATGCATACACATGTTGATAAGAAAACGTTTAATTCAGAGGAGGAGCAGAAAAAGAAAAAAGAAGACCAAATATTTATTTTCATTGCCATTTTCCCTCAGTTTCTTTCATTCGAAACAGAAATTTAGAGAGAGAGAGAGAGAGAGAACCAGGTGAACGAGCGAAGACTTGAGGAGGTTGACCGAAGATTTCGACGAATTTGGACTTCAAATTATCAAAACGTAGCTGAGCTTCTTCGAGCGGAGAACCTCCGCCATAGACAGGTTCCAGGTTGTCGTAAATCGGGATCGGAAGCTCCTCGTGCTTAGCCATTCCTCTTACGCAATTCAATTCTCTCTCTCTCTCTCTCTCAAAAATGATAAGCTCTCTTTTGGAAGTGCAACCAAAATAGATTTTTTTTTTTATATAACCTTTAATTTTTTAAAACTTGTAATTATTTTCCTAAAATATGACGTGATAGCGCCAGAAAAAACTTTATCCAGATTTTGAACGATGATGACGTGGAAACACGCAGGAACAACTATGCTCGTGGCAGTCACTTGCCTTGCATGATTGAGTTCCATTTTAACTTTTCTTTTGTTTATTTGCCTAATTTATTCATATTTCCGTTCTCAACTCTAACCATCATTTACAGCGAAAAACAGAAATAATTGGATAACATGGTTATCGGATCAGCTTAATTATCGCAATGAAAAACACCATTTGATGAAATCTTACTAATCTAATATATGACCATTACCATTTTACCATATATACGTGTCAGTGTGTGTGTTATCCCCAATCTTATACAGTAAATCAATCAATTTGATCTCTAGAATTTCAAATAAAAATTCCATTTTCTTTTTTGTTGCATTAATACTACTGTAAACACTTAAGCAACAATTAAAAAATGAACGTCATACTCAATTCTTATTGTTATTCATGTTTAATATTGACGAGGAAGCATAAATACTCTAATTATATAGTTTCTAAGTTTGTGGGTTTCTTTTGGAAGTAAGGAAGGCACATGTTGACATCAGATCATTATTGGATTACATAGCGGATACATCCAATAGAAAGGGCTAATTAGTCTAGAAAATAATTATACATTACCACATCATATACCTTCCAGAGTTTTCAGGTGGGGCCATAAAGGGTTTAAGATTGTGTCAATAATTATTATTAGTGGAGTAAATAAGTTAACTTAAATAAATTAGGCCTATATAAAAAATATTGAATCTGACTTGACCGGTTTAAGTCTATTAAATATTCAACAATTAAAAGAATAACTAAAATAATATTACTTTATTATTCAAAATTATTAAAATAACAGTTTTATTTATTTTATTTAAAATAAATAATATGATATAAATCGACCGTAGACTTATAGGTCCCAATATGTATAAAAAAATCTATAACCTGTATTCTAAATAATTTTTTTTTAAAATTTAAGCTTGTTCTATTTTATTATTTATAATAAGTCAAATCTAATATATAAACTAAACAGTAGACTCCTATAGGTAAGTGAATAGGCCAAGTCTCATCTGGTCCAAATTTCACTATATCATCTTCTAAAACAAAATTTTCCTTTATATCACGTTATATTATCAAAAGAAAGTTTTGGTCAGGTCTGACGACTGTGGAAAAGCATCTCAGTATCCCTAATCATACGAGAAACAAATGCACTAGAGATTTCAGGCAAAGCAGATATACTACAAGTCCTTTATAATTATAATCAGTTCATAAACAAGTTGCGTCAAAATCAAGCACAGTTATCTGTGCAATAGTGTAAAAAGCATCATCGAAGTCAAGGTCATATACAAAGATCTGGCTCTGATGCAATCCAACTGTGAGATAAATCACATCAAAAGGCGAAACTATCAACCTCCTCATCTTCGTCCTCATCTATATCATCCTCCTCTTCAGTATATATCACCATATCATCCTCCTCATCATCAATTTCGTCATCCTCTTCAACCATCATGCTTTTACTCGTTTCTTTGTCCTTCAAACCAGTGCTCAAGACTACAGTTTCTCCCCCAGATTTTTCCATGTCCTTCCTCAATTTATCCATGTTCTCCCTCCTGCGGTCTTCCTCCAAACGCAGCTTCTCTTCACGTCTTTTATCAAGATCAGCCCTAAGCATAGGGTAATACAATAAAGTTAATTGGTTAGCCATTCCTAACATACCGCTATAGTTAAAAGCCCAATCAATATTAATATAATTGTGAAGCTAAAAAATAAAGAATCTTTCAAGCTCAGCCTCGGACAATACTTATAGTTTTCCATGTATTCCTCTGCACTGGCTTCGACAGCCATAAAGAAGGCTTCAATTCCTGTACCAGAAACTGCTGAAACTCCGACTGATCTTAAATTCTTGTAGAATTCATCCAACACAAGAGAAAGGCTCTGAGTTAAAGTTGACGTGTACGAGTGATCTGTACTTACTGCTGCTTGGAATGCCTCAAAATCCTCCATCCACTAAATACACAAATTTAACAAAAGGAATAAATCAAAATAAATTTCGTTCTAGCTATAAAAACAAGATAGAACATGCAAGTTCAAAAGACAGGGAAAAGAATGAATAAAGATGAAACCAACAATAAACTGGCAGGGAATTGGGCTGCAAATAGGGTAGTCCCGTTTTATTATTGCAAACAGAAACAGAGATTCAGCTCAAAGATGCAAAGGAAGGAGTCAATAAACCCTAGACTTCAAAATGGTTCAATATCTCTAGACAAGAAATTCTCCAACACGAAAGGGTAAGTGAATAATTTTCACAATTAATATTGCTTTCCATTTCACTTCAATTCATTAAATTTAAATTACTTATTTTCCTTAACTCCACTTTTCTCCAATTGAATGCAATGTCAAGCTCCACTAAGCATAGGGCCTTTTGATCAGTGTTTAGATGTTCAATGCGAGTTATTGTCTTGATATGCAATAGAAGGGAGAAAAAAAAAACATGCCGAAGTGATAAATCCTTAAAAAGAGAAAAATTATGTCCAATTCCAACTTTATAGGACAATGATGCGATCAACTTGAATACTATCCTTTCCGGCCTTAAGAAATCTTATACCATGAAGCCAGACCTCATTATAGATAGTTAGATACAGCCCAAATGTCATTATTTCTCATTGTTATATTTAAAACATAAGACCAACTTCTAAAAAGCCGACAATATTTTGTGGTTTAAACAACTTTAAAGCTAAAACTATCAAAATAGGTGAAATACAGTTTCAAGTAATATGATAATTTCTTGGGCAAATCGACTTTACAAGTTAATCTCAACCTGATGTCAGTGAGTTAGCAGATCAACACATCCTATCAATTTTTTTTTTTCGAACTTTCTTAAGTGACTAATCTCAACAACACATCATATGTAATTAAAACTTAACACAAGAAAATTCATCAGAAATAAACAATACCTCCAAGGCAAACTGATGTTGTGCTACATCAACCTTGTTGAATGCCAAGATGAGAGGTAACCTTGTCTTGTATAGGATACTGCAAGCATAGAGCATGTTGCTCATGAAAGTGGTAGGATTTTCTGAACGAGGTGTATCAACAACATAGGTGACTACAGTGGGAAACGTGGAGGCAAAAGCTTCTGTAATGATAGCACCAGAAGCAGACCAGGTGAATATCTCAATCTGACCAGGAGTATCCACAAGAACATAGTCAAGTTGATCTGCTCGCTTCTCAATAACAGAAATCACCTGAAATTTAGAAGCATAAACTTTACTGAAACTGCATTTAAAGTGCTGCAGATGGGGGAAAAATATCAGCTAACAATAAACATTAAGATCTCAAACATTGCAATAAAAGCTTAATTAGGAAAAGTAAAACCAAAACATAGGATCAAACAAGCTAAATGAAAGCTCCATGCTACCAATAAATAAAAATGAAACAGGGAGCATGTTACCATTATTAGTGATGTATAAATAAGATCACCCAATGAAAGCAAAATGTCCTTATGAGTAAAACTTAAATTTAAAAGGCAGTAACTTGTAAGTAAGATATGTCCCAATAGTTTAGAGACTAATAAGGAACCTTTACCTCATCAAACTTGGTAGCAAACAAGTTAAGGGAAGTTAAAATTCCGCCATTAGGGCCAAGGTTGAACTGCTTCATGACTTCTTTATACTTAACGGTGTCTCTTATATCGATGTTAGAAGCATAAGGAAGTGTCAAGACGGCCGGGTCGAGATTCATCACATAACCCCGAATGTTTGACATATGTGTATGGCAAACCAACCTATGGAGGAGTGTTGTTTTCCCACTCCCTAAACACAAATGAGATTTATTCTCAGTCTTCATTCACAAAGCACAATTTAAATATATAAAAAAAAACTAACATCCTAATTCCATTACTTTCCTATACAATCATAAAGCAACTAAGCAAGAACCACTGAGCACATCAAGTAAATGCAATCACCTGCCATTCCTACAACTATGATAATGACCGGTTTTCTTTTGAAGCTAGGTGATCCACTCCCAGACGAAGATCCTTCAATATTCAGTTTGTTCACAGCGTCTGTGAGCTCCTCCTCTTGTTTATCTTTTGCCTACAAAACCAAACCAAAAAATGAACAGAAGATTCCGGCGATTCAAAATTTCAGATTAAATTCATCCAATTAAAAAAATAAACTTTGTTAGGGTTAACCATTTTTAGAATAACAATTTAACTATCCCGTGAGCCTAATACGGCATAGTCGCGTGAAGTCAACAATACAAAGCTAACTGCGAACTTCCTCATTAAACAGTTGACTCGGTTTTCATTTTTTAGAATCTTTCATTTTCTAAAGCGAACATAAAAAGGTAGAAAGAGAGAAGCGTGTTTGAGAAGGGAGGGTACTTGAGCGCTGGAAGAGTCACCGGAATCCATTTGCATGGGCGCGTCGTCGAGCTTCGGATTTTTCGAACCGTTGTCGGCGTCCATTTCCGGTTGAAGCAGAACTCAACGATGTTGCGACGGCTATGTGGAAAGTACTGTGAACTTTGTTCCGGTGATGAGTACTCGAGAGAGAGACACGAGTGGGGTTTTTTGCCTTTTACTTGCGCTGCGCAGTGAAGGGTTTATATATGCAGCGCTCCACTGCACAGAACGGCACTGCGTTTTGGCTGTTTTTCTTTTGGGTACTATTAACCAGTCCTAACCACTTGCTTAAAAAATCTTTTAAAATTAATTAAAATTAAAAATAATAAATACTGTTAGGTTTTTAAGATGTTAAAAGTTAAGAGTTTAATTTTAATAAACAATCAATTTATACATTTTTTCATAATTACTTAAATAGTATTTTGTAAAACGATTATCATTAAAGTAAAAAAAAAATCGATGACGACCTAATACTAAATAATTACACACACAAAATTATATTAAAGATGTATAGAATTAAATATATTTTATATTTTAATTATTATTCAATAATACAATCTATTATTCTATTCATCAAATAAAATCATATTAACGATGTACAAAATTAAATAAAAAATGGTTTGGTTTATTGGACTAAACAAAACTAGCGCACTGGGGGGGGGGGGGGGGGGGGGGTAAAAAAAAAGGCTGATCGTCGTTATGTGAGTCGCGTCAATTTGACCCATAAAATAAGAGTCTAGATTGAGATGATGAAGTAATACACAAAAATTTTGACTTACAATCTTCCTGGGTGTCCTTTCTCTTTATTATTGACAATGAACTTATATAAATATCTGTTAGCACTTTGTTTTTAGTATAATATTGTATCATGTAAATTATATAGAAAGAATATTAACTCTTCCACCACGAACAACGTCATAAGATTAATAACAAAACTCGTAAAATGTAGACGGAAAAATACCATAATTTTATTTACAAACAGTTGATCATTTAAAATGATGTAGAGACCTGTGGATGATAATTGATAATCCTAAGTCGAAGTTAAAAGGTTTGGCTGAAGCAATTTGTTAACAATGGAGACAGTAATAGCACATAAATTATACACATATCGGTTATTATCCCTCAAAGGCAAACTAGCCAGGTTCTTGAATTTAGTATCGCATGACTCAGCTTGGATTCCAGCATTATAAGCCCTTTGTTTTACAACCTTGTAGTCACCTTTGTCCATTGCATTTAGAGCTTCTCGCAAATGTACCTTCACTATCATGTTGTATGAAGCAAAACACTTTTCCAAAGCCCCTTTTAGTTCTGGGTCCCTGGTTTGCACGTAAACCTTGTGTATGCGCTCTAGTGAGGCAGAGGCATTGGCTTTGAGAATCTCAAGGGCTAAACGAGCAAATCCAGCAATGTCTGCTTTTGATCTATGGTGAATTGATGATCGTAAAGTCATTATGCAAAGGTGGTAATGAGGTGATTGACGACATATTTGCTCCAGCAAACTAGTGTGTGAGAGAGTGGATTGGATTGGTGGGATGAAAAAGACCAATGAAGTGGCAAAGTGAAGAACAATGATTGTTGAAAAACATGTAAGCTTCAATTTCTTCATTGGTTTGTCTTAAGAACACAGAGGATGATAATTAAATTGAGTCAATGATTCCACAAGGTTGGAACTTGGATGCAGTAGGTTTATAAGAGGAATGACACCAATGGTTTGAGTTTTGTACCATTTTTAGTAAACATCTTGACGCTTTCCTTTGTGCTCGGGCGATAGACTTGTGGTCCAAAAAGGTTTTAACTTTCAAATTCTTAGTTCTGATTTTTATACAATGCAAACTTCTTTCTAAGGGCTTCTTGTTTTGATTCAATAGAAGGCTTATTGGACTCGTAAAACCACATATATCAAAGGGTTCGTTTTTTTTGAAATTTAGATAAATTATCTTGAGTCCAAAACGACGTTGTTTTAGGGCGAAAATTAAAATATTTTTGTAATTTTAATTTATTTCAGAATTATAATAATCTTTATAATTATAATTTTTTAATATTTTAACACCAAAATGATATCATTTTGTAGATAATTTATCTGCAATAACTGGAGAAATAATTTAACACCAAAATGATATCATCCCGTCCCATTTTTGGCATCAAAGTAAAAAGTAAAAAAAATAATTTTTGACATGAAATTATTTCGGCTGAAGTGTTGGATGTGCGTGGGCTAGCCCAGTGGTAAATATCTCTCTTGTTGGGCAAACACAAACTCGAGTCAAGTCGTCCTCTTTTCCTTCGTCTTCGTCTCATTCGTGATTCGTTATTTATTATTTATTTTTTATTATGATTGGGATTGTAATACTCTCATAGCCAGAAGGTGTCACTCCACCGGCGCGAAGGAACACGTTATTCTCCAACACCTACCTCTCTCTCTTTCTTTCTAGGGTTAGAGTTAGGGTTTCGTTTCGTTAGGCAAGCTGGATATGCACAGAGGAGAACGCTACGGCAACAACAATAACAATGACTCTCACAACAACTATCGTCACTCGAGGGGACACTCTCACTCTCGCTTCTCCGATTCTCCCGTGAGCAACTACGACTCTCGTCGAAGCCCCGGTAGCTTCCGCTCCGGCGGTGCACCTCACCACCGCGCCTTTGATAGCCCCCCGCGTTGGTCTCCCGGTAGGGTGGGAGGGTTCCGGTCAATCGGCGGCGGCGACGGGTTCAGGCCAATGGGTGGTGAGGGTCCCGGAGAATTCGGATTCAACAGTCACCAGGCACCGCCGCTGTCTGGTCAGAAACGAGGGTTTCCTTTCCCTGGTCGTGGAGGCTCGCCGGGTGAGTTTATTCTGCACTTCCTTTATCTAGTTTGGCTGACGATACTGTTGCCAGTGAATTTTGTATATTGAATATTTGTGGTATTGGAACTGGTTCTCTTAAGCGCATGATAGAAATTGGTTCAAGAATTAGGAATTAACATTAAAAGAATCTGAATGTTGATTGAATCTTTATTGCTGTGGCCTCTTCTCATGATCTGAAGAATGACCCTTGGACAGAGGATGATGGAAAATTAAATACAATGGAGGTTTCCCTCTCTTTCTCTCAATTTCAGGGTTCTCGCCCTGGCTCTCTCTACTCTACTCAACTCATCATCTAAATGAATCCATTTACATTCTCTTTCTCTATTTATCTACTAACTATCTCTAAGAATTTTAACCACCTAAGCCTAAGTAACCAACAGGTTGGCCCAATTGGCTAAGAATAACATATACTTTCATAATTCGGGGTTGCTAACAACACACTTCAGTTGCTGCGTCTGGTATCACGTAGTTATCTATGACTACTTGAAATGACTATTGCTTTAGGGTTACTTGAGCATGTACTTGTTCTAGGTTTGGGGTTGCATTGCTTTTGGGTATTGGAGTCATTGGTGTTGCCATGGGCCATGTTGAGCATTTTTTTTTTTTAGGATATTGTTGGGCATATAGTCTTTAAACTATTGTTTGGAGTTAGAATTCAGGAGTGCTAATATGTATGAAGTATTCCGACAATTTAGAATGCTGGTCCTGGCATTTGTTTCTGTGGAAAACAACAGCTTATTTATTCATTTTTTGGGGGGACTACATCATTGTTCACTGGTTAGGTTGCTTTATAATTTACTTCAGTGGGGAGCCCAAGAATATGTGGTAGGTGACTTGTTGTGTTAGTCTGAATTGGCGACTGGAGGGGTAAGGCTTGGTGTTGTATGTTTTGCCTCAACCTTGAGTTATTTAATTTCTTGTTGTAATTTCATTCAACTGTCTTAGTTTGTTTTCCCTTTGACTTCACTTTCATTTATAGTGTAACGGAAATGAATTACATGCTTGTCCTTTTCAGATCATTTTGATGGTGGAAATTTTGCCAAACTTTTTGTTGGATCTGTTCCCCGGACAGCCACTGAAGAAGATGCAAGTCATCTAACCTTCCTTTTTATGTTCTTTTCTTTCTATTGCTTGATGATTTCATGTTTTCCATAACATTAAAGGATATTAACCATAGTCTGGTGTTTAATGACTAATTATGGTCTTGTTACAATTATTTGATGCCAGATTCGCCCTTTATTTGAGGAACATGGGAATGTTATTGAGGTTGCCCTGATCAAAGATAGAAAGACAGGACAGCATCAAGGTATTTGTGATTTTTGTATTCTGTGATAATTGTGATTCATACACATTTCATTTCAGGTCCTTTGAGAGGCTGATGGGAGAGAAAATATGCTCATCGTCATCTCGGTTTGTTTTTGCAACAAGTTCAGGCTTGTTGGTTTTGGTTCCACTTTTTTTTTTCTTCATACCTGAAGGAGCCAAGACATGTAAACCTGCAAGCTGCTCTTTGTATAGCAGATGGGATCTTGGAGGACCAAAAGATCCTGCTCTTGCAATTGTAGCTGCAGCAGTGGGGGCATTACCCAACAATTGATTGTAGTGGGAGTGTCAGTTGCCATAGCTGTAGACTGTTTATGTCAAAAATTTACAAGCCAGTTATTGTACAAAGGGAACAGAGGAAAAACTTGGTTTGTTACATTTGAATGGTGTTAATCACAATGTACTTCTGAAGGTTTAATGTTTCTCATATTTTGGTGAACATAAGAGTTTATTGAATGGCTTGGAATGTCATATATCAGTTTTAATTTAATAAAATGGCATGGGTTGAAGTTGGGTTGACAAAATATGGATCATAATTGAAATTGGTGAGTGATGTGTTGTTGGAATTCATGCTTCATTAGCTACCTTATGAATGGCAGACCTGTTGCTGATGTGATTGGTGATTGTTCATTTGTGATTCTTAATGTTGCTGATGTGATTGGTGATTGTTCATTTGTGATTCTTAATGTAAAACCTAGGCAAGTTGTTTTAGTTTTAAAGTTATGTTTATGTGATGGATTTAATGTTCCTTTATGATGTGGTTTCAGAATGGTTCTAGTTTTGAACAATGATTTTGCTTCTTCGTGATCATTGGTCTGTGATTCATTATAACGATCCAACCCCCTTCTCAAATTTAATTTAGAAGCCGTGTGATTGATTTGAAATTGTTAGTGCGTTGGTTTGGGATCACAACAGTTATGATCATTTATATTTTAATGTGGAGTTATGACAGATATTGGATAGGTATTTCCATGTTTGACTGGATCTGCTGCCAACTGGTCCATTTTACTTTTAGTGTCTATTCTGTTGGAGCATGGAGTTTTATCCATGGAAATATAGTTGTGCAAAAGCGCATCATGGAAAGTTGGATTCTTCAAGACATTGAAATCTTGTGTAGTGCTGTGCTTCTGCCTTATTATTATTTGATGCTAAAGTCGGATTCACAGTTGTGCTTCATTACATGATTAAATGAATTTGTCGCAAGCTTGTTTGATATCTAGTTGAGCGAGAAAAACAGTCTGGTTTTTATACTACATTGGTGTTTATGCGTGTGAATGCATTTTTAACTCTAGAGCTCATCTTTAGATTCTATCAATTGTGAATATATTAGCACTCGGGTTATTATTTCTGGTGTAGTGGTGTGGATCTATGCGATGTGGTGGCTTTAGTTAAGCCTCAACTTCAGGTGCCGTTTTTCCATGAGTGATCTATTGCTAATCATCAGTTTTTCTCTGCTTTGGGTAAGTATTAACCGACAGAGGATATGATGTCAAAGTCTGGTAGGAGGATGTGAAATGGGATTTTATTGGTTTAGCAGAAGCAATTATTGATTATGTGCTAGTCAATTGTTGGTAATTGCCACTGAGTCTGTGACCGATGTAACTTGTAAGCTACCCCATTGGATGCTGTTAAATCTGTGCAATCTTGGTTAATGATATAGAAATTCTAGCAGCTTTTGGTTGCATGCCATTTTTTTGTTTGTGTGGATGAAATGCACACCACAGATTTCTTCATTTTATAAAAAAGATCCTTTATAAAGTTTCATTTGTTTGATGAGTGATGACTATGAGTGGCATAACTTTCTACAATCAATGTCACCCATTTATTTGGGTAACAGCTAAGTATTTTTTAAGCAAAAAAAAGTTTCTATAAACAATCACATTCTAACAGCTTCGTTTCTTGCTTTATCATTTTTTCTGCCAAATGACTTATTTTGTGGATCTATATGTTTGACATATATCTGTACAAAGGGGGTTATTATTTTAATGGAACTGGCATAAAACACGTTTGTTGTGCAGGTTGTTGTTTCATAAAATATGCTACCTCAGGAGAAGCTGATCAGGCAATTAGAGCATTGCACAATCAACATACTCTTCCTGGAGTGAGTTTTAGTGCTTTTGAATCCTAAGTAAATAGTGAGGATAACTTATGGTTATTAATTTTCTGACACTTTTAATGTTACTATTTAGGGTGTTGGTCCAATCCAAGTGCGGTATGCTGATGGTGAACGGGAACGCCTGGGTAACTATTTATATTTCTTGATGTTGACAGACTTAAAAATTTCTTATGCCAAATGTATATCATACACAAAGGATAAATAATAAATACTGTTAAGGTATACATAATCATAGTTGTAACTTTTTTCTCTTTACAAATTAAAATGCATTGAGAACTTTCTGGCCTGACTGTCAATCATGTGCATGAGGACCTTATGAAATCTGATGAAATGTTTGAAACATCTTTTTATGAAAGAACATAGAAGTATGTTGTTGTAGTCATTAAACTAGTTTTTTTTTGTTTTTACATATGTATGTTTGTCTCTTATTTCATCAGTTAAATTTTATTCGTGTGCTCTCTAACTCCTGTTTATTGTAGTAGTCAACATATTATTTTACTGAAAAATATTTAAAGCAGCTAGCGAATTTTACTTTTCAGTTAGAACAACTATTTAGTTGATAAGAAAAAGGCTAACATTTGTACTTTCATTCGAACATGCTCTGAAGCTGATTATTGTGAAAATTGGGTTGTTTAGGTGAAGAGTTTATGCCTGGAATCTGGACGTTCTTTTTTATTTATGAATGCATTATTGTTGAGTCATCCGACTATCTTACTGACTGTTTCTTGTTGCTGCAAATTAATTTATATTATAGGTGCAGTTGAGTACAAATTATTTGTGGGCTCTCTGAACAAACAGGCTACAGTAAAGGAAGTTGAGGAAGTATGTTGCTTGCACCAATTAAACTTTACACTAGGGATTGTCATACAGGAATTTTCAGTGGGAAAAAATATTTTTTGTGTTGTCTCGCAAAAGGGAAACTTAGGCACAAGGGAACTGATGTCTGTGTCTTCACTTCTAAATATTTGTTATTATCAATAATATTATTATTATGTTATGCTTACTATTATTTAGCATGGAACTAATGGATGGTGTCTCTTCTCTCAGATTTTCTCAGAATACGGGCGGGTCGAAGATGTGTATCTTATGCGTGATGAGAAGAAGCAAAGCCGTGGTATGTTTCCTACCCATATGGGATACTAGCTGGAAACCGGGTTGGGGAATGGGGTGCGAGGGTCTGGTTTCTGTGGTTCTCAGGTTCCAAGTTGTTGTTCGTTTGGAGATTATGAATTTATTCATGCATTGAATTCTAATTTATTTTTTAAACCTGATCCTTCAGTGTTTGTAGGCATCTTAATTTATATTCTGGAGTTTCATTTTCTGTCTCTTTATATGCGTTTGAGTTTGATGGCAATACCAAATAGAGAAATTTTACCTTTTCTGGTTGAAGGATGTGGTTTTGTTAAATACTCGCATAGAGATATGGCACTGGCGGCTATTAATGCACTTAATGGAATCTATACAATGAGAGTAAGAAAAGTTTTATTTTTTTTCTTTTAATAATTATCCTTATAAAAGCTTTCTGGTTATCATCTTGTATTTTTCTGCATAGGGTTGTGAACAACCACTAATTGTCCGGTTTGCTGATCCCAAGAGACCTCGTCAAGGAGAATCCAGGTTTGTCATAGCATTAATTGATGATACTTAAGCATGAAAGTCCATTATAATCCTAATTAATTGAACAAAGAATGGAGCCATGGACTGTTGATCTTGACTCAGAAATTGACCTGTGCTCACTTTTATGAATATGAAATTGTAAAGAGCCAATTCAACCCAAAAGTTTAAGATGTTAGGTGAAGGCTATATTAATGGTTATATATTTTTCTAATATGCCCCCTCGCACAAGAGCTTATTGGGCTTGGAGGGTGGACAATACATAGGTCCACATCTACCTGTGCTAAGAACTTCCATAATATTTAATTATTCATTAGTAGAATGGGGAGCAATGAGGATCATACTTGTGATCATTTGGTCACATAGACTAAAGAACCTATTCCACCCAAAAGCTTAAGTTGTTAGGTGAATGCTATATTAATATTTTATATTTATCTAACAGAAATCAAGCCTAAGCAAGAAGTATTATTTTTTAGTTGGCAATTTGAACAATAGCTCTGTTATGTTAGCTTTCTATGGGATGGTTAGCCTACATTTTAAGAAGGCGTGGTTCAAATGGAAGAGAGGTCTAGAACAAGTTGATCAAAGGGCATTTTTCCTTGACCCTGATATTTTACAGCCTCAATGAGTTTTTTATTCTTTGTTGTAATTTATTTATTTATTTTTGTTCCTTTGGTATGAGGGGAAGGAATTTTTCTCTTTCATTTTAGACTTGAACCAAGTAAGGATTTTGTACCTGATAATATTATTGACATATGTGCATGAAATATAAATCCGTTGCTGTGTTGATGCGAAAATAATCAAGTCTGCTGATACCAAACGGCTGTTTTTAGGTGTCTAGCATGACACAAATGCATGTTATGTGTATATATAGACAATTGGTTTTAGAAATTTTATTTGGCTTGTTTCAGGGGTCCTGCATTTGGAGGTCCAGGATTTGGTCCTAGATTTGATGCACCTGGGACAAAGTATCCATCCTCCCACATTTACTTCTTCCTTCTGTCTTTCGATATTAAATTATTGCCACATGAGAACTTAGTGCAATACTTTCTTCTGTAATTACTTCTTGCAGACTTCCATCCCATTTTAGCGATCCTATGGGTGACCGTATGCTTCCCCCAAATGCTTGGCGTCCAATGCATCCACCAAATATGGGGCCATCCTCTAATGCTGGTCTTCATGGCATGGGGCCCCCGTTGCTTCCAAGATCTGGTGACATGGCATTGTCTATAAATGCGGTAAGTATACATTTGATGATACTAAAAAATCTAACCCTAAATCCAGCGCAACTATTTTTATCTTTAAAAGCTACCACGATTCAAAATACCTCCTCTCTCTATATTCTGAATTCTGATTGTTGCCTTAGTTTGCATTTGCTGTGGGATTTGTCTCTGCTAATTGTTAGCATTCATCGAACTACCAATGCAGTTTGGCCAAGCATTATCATTTTTTGTTTTCAATTAATTTAATGAGAAGAATAATAGAAACAAAAGTTTGAATTTATCTGTAGACATGCATGCGATCCAGCACACATGCACATTATTTACTAAAGTTTCTTTAAGTTAAATACTTTTATGGCTGCCTTCTGGATTTTTTTGCAAAGTGACTGGCAGTTAAAGTCCTTTCTTATCTTTGTAAAATACTAAAACTGCACTATCTCAAGACTGAAACTGCGCACACTCTCTCTCTCACACACACACATACATAATGGCATCAACAATTTATTAACAGTTTGCAAAGGAGCAGGTTTATTTGGGACCCTTCCTTTTTGTGAAGGTACCAGTATATCTTAACAATTAGTGGTTCATATGTTTCCATGTGCATGTTACACTCTCAATCTTGATTGTTCATTCTATTTATATCTAACGGTTCTAATTGATTCAATATTTGAGCCGTAAGATGCAAGCAAATTAATGACTAAAATTTGGTGTAAGACTTTTTATTCTTACACCAGTGTGTGTGTGTATATATATATATGTGTGTGTGTGTGTGTGAGTTATTTTTTATTTATATTTAAATTGAATTGGATAGCGGCAAAATATTAGCCCCTAATTTCTGGTTAGATGCAATTGTTTTTTATGTTTTTACTGTTCGTCCTCCTTTATTTTAATTAATTTATTTTTCAAGGATTTAGTTCTCCACATCTATTGCTTATACTATGCTTAAACAAATATAGGGTGGTCCTATGTCTGGCATGGGAGGCCCCATAGATGGTCGTTATCAAGTTCAGTCTCTGTCATCAATGTCACAACAGGTATTTTGAGATTACATTGAAATTAATTAATAATTCGACTTCACTGCCTCTTTGCTATCTTGAAACAGATTAGAAAATTTTATGTTACTTTCAGAATTTCAACCAGCCTATACCTCAAATTCCACCTGTCAATCAACAGATATCACCATCACAGAAACCTATTCAATCATCTCAGGAGTTGCCAACTACCCACCGCTTGTACCCACAAGCTCCGATGCCCTACCCACAAATGTCAACCCTTTCATCTCTTAGGCAGCATGGCCAGCCGCAACTTTCTCTATCTGCTGGTCCTCTTCCATCACAGCAGGTACACGGCGTAAGTGGACAATATTCAACATCTCAGCCTCAAACTCAGCAGAGTGCTTTCTCTGCTGCAATTCCTCAGAACCGTCTTGATACCAGTATGCAATCTAATACAGCATTGGCTACTCCAAATCAACAGCAAGTTCCTCCCTCTGTGCAGCAGCAGCCACTTCAACCTCTTCAGCAATCCCCTTCTCAGTTAGCTCAGATGTTGTCACAACAAACACAGACTTTACAAGCAAGCTTTAATTCATCTCAGCAAGCCTTTTCCCAGCTTCAACAACAATTACAGATGATGCAACCATCCAGTCAAGCATTAACATTGCAGCAAAATGCAGAAGCTACTAAAAAGCAGGTACTTTTGGTTAAAAGCTCCCCCTTCATTAGCTTTTGATTTGTATTCTCTTGTTCACAATCTCACCTAGTATGAGGTTTCACAAATTGAACATCATTGTTTTTGCTTAATTTGCTTTGATCGGAGTAATTTCGAGACAAAAAGCTTCTTGATATTTTCAGTTTTTCCATTGATGGTGTATTCTTTGAATTGATTTTTGATTTGATTGACTTAGTTCTTATTTGGAAGGTTTTTTTTTTTAAGGTTCTCTTCTTATAAATAGAAGCTAGGCCAAACAGGTTTTTACAAAAATTCTTATAATAAAAAAAGGTTTTTTTTATAATGAAGAAAAAAGCCAAAATTCCCCTGAAGTTAAAAGGAAAATTCTATAAAACGGCAGTACGACCGGCAATGCTATATGGAGCGGAATGCTGGCCAGCACATAGGCAACATGAGCATAAGATGGGAGTAGCAGAGATGAGGATGTTAAGGTGGATGTGTGGGTACACAAGGATGGATAAGATAAGAAATGAAGATATTCGACGAAAGGTCGGAGTAGTACCGGTAGCCGAGAAGATGAGAGAACATAGATTGAGGTGGTTTGGGCACGTGATGAGAAGACCCATGGATGCCCCTGTAAGAACAGAAGTTTGTTACCAAGAGCTAAACACAAAAAGATGCAGAGGTAGGCCGAAGCTTACTTGGGGGAAAGTAGTAAAACAAGATTTAATGGAGTGGGATATAGATTGGCGGACAGTATGTCTTAGAAAGGAATGGAGAAAAACTATAAGTATGGTGGAGGGTTAGACTCGCTGTTATTCCTATGTTCCAGATGGTTCTTTTTTAGTCCTTTTCCCCTTCATTTCCCCCACTTCTTCTTGTCCCTTTCTTTTTTACTTTTATTTATTTATATATACATATATTTTTATTTCATTTTATTTTATTTTATTATTTTATTTGTGTATTTTTATTTATTTATTTATTTTTTATTTTTTATTTTTTTTACTTTTTTTCAACCGTTTTGTATCTTTCATGTGGGTTCATCTACCACCGACCCCAATTAATTTGGGATAAAGGTGTTGTTGATGTTGATGTTGATGTTGAAGAAAAAAGCCAAAAGCTCCTAGGAGGAGTTTTTTTTAAGTTGTATCAGCTTTTTTTGAAATGTGTGCTTTTTCTTAAAAAAAATGAATAGCTTTTAAGTAACCTTTAACGTTAAAATTTTATATAATCATCAAACATTTTATAGTTTTATTTTTAAAGCTCTTTTTTTTAGCTTTAGCTTAAAAGTAACTTTTAACTTAAAAAAGAGAGGTGCCAAACAGGCTCTTAGGATTTTTGGTGTCCAGTCTGATTGGTTGCAGGCATTTATTCTGTTTGAAGTATTTGATTGTTTTTTGGTGGTGTTAGGATGTATTATTTACAATTTTTCTAGGGTGCATTAGAGCATGCTTTCAGAATAACGATCATGTGCTAATGTTTTTATTTCTGTAGTCACAATGGGCTGGTACTGTAGCACAGGCGGTGGCCAGCACTCATGTGGCAGCCCCTGCTGCAGTTGTCCCTTCATCCACATCTGTTACTTCTGCCTTAACAGCAATAAGCCAGAACGTAGCTGTTGCAAAATGTAATTGGACAGAGCATATATCTCCCGAGGGCTTCAAGTACTACTACAATAGTGTCACTGGAGAAAGTCGGGTAAGAATTTATTTGAGTTGCCATTATGTTAGTTATTTTTTATTCTACTTGTGGAACTAATGTTCACTGGAATGAACCTCTAGTGGGAGAAACCTGAGGAGTTGACATCATCTGAACAGCAAAGACCATCTGTTCAGCAGTCTCAAACTCAGTCACAACCTTCAACACTATCCACCCAGCAAGTTCCACAGTTCCAACAGGTTCAGCCTCAAAGTCATCTCCAAGGACAGGTTCTACACCAGCAACAAATACACCAGCCTTCTTTGTCTTCTTCGGTAAGCATTCCTATGACATCCTTCATTACGGCATTGAAAGATGATTTTTTGTCGCTTACTTTGCTTTTTTTGATTCTAGTTCCAGGCATATGGAATTACAGGTCATCAAAATGTTCAGGTAACACTATCCTTTTCAACATTTGTCTAGTGGCAATAAGAGAAGCAACGTGTGATGTGCCTCATGGTCTATAAATGTAGCCTCTGTTGCTCTTCGTATTGTCAATGTTAAGTGGTTCCTTTTTGTTGTAAATAATTGAAATTTGTTTGGCTTTTCAGGAAGTTGGTTATAAACAATTACAGGCATCCGTTTTTTCTGCTGGTGATCCTGGACGCTACTCTCAGGTACGTGGCTTACACTTCACACTTTTCATTTATTTATTATGCCCTTTTGGTCTAATCATAATTCCTGAATCCATTTCAGGGTATTCATACTACACACGAGATGATGTGGAAAAATAAACCTGCAGGTTCCAGTCCTTGCACCAACTTATTTACCCACTTCCTGAAAGACACACACATATACACACAAACTACATGAGTTTCAGTCTAAGACACCCACTTAGTATTAGTTTGTTTGGGATGTTGGAAGGAGGTCGACTAGTGAATTGCCTTTGCTATGAAATATTTAAATGGATGGTCTGGCTATGTTTCTCTTCCGTTTATTGTTTTTATAGTTTCAATACTGACAATTTTTTTTTGTTTTGGTCACGTCCAGGAGTTTGAACTTAGATGGATTGAGCTTGAGCTTTAGGCGCGGCATATAGATTTGCAGCTTTTAAAGGGCTTGTGGAACAGAATCTCTAATCTGATGCTTGAAGGTAGGGTACCACCACCTTCATTTTGACCCAAAAGTGGATATGTAATCGTATATTTGCTGCATTCATGAGTTATTTGGTCCTTATTGTTGAGGTTTCACTATCACTTACTGGCTCAGCACTAAGGGCTGTCGGGGTCAATGCATATGACAAGGAAATGCCCTATCCAGATCGACATGTAACATAATCTTCGGTTTAATCATAAATTTCAGCTTAACCATTAACTTAAGGGATAGCACTTTTGAAGTTTCTTGGGTGCTTGTGGTGTTGTTTCCTAATAAAATCATAACGTCTATTATTTTTTATACTTCTGTGAGGACTTTGAAGAGGAGGATGGAGTGGTTATAAAATAATGGGTGTTATTTTTTTTACTAAAAAAAAGCACCGTAAGTATTTAACCAACTTAAAAAGTTTTGTTCTAATTTTAGAATTTTTGGCTAAATGCTGAAATTCTGTGACAATAATAATGCTTTTCGCGATGTAGCACGACAGTAGCCATTCTTTCCTTGTCGTGGCAGTGGTGAGCTTAAGGAACTAATGGTTCTCACCGGTGCTTATAAGAATTTAAGTAAAGCTCGATTCAAGTAATCATTAATATTTTTCTACTCGTAGTCTGACATAGTTCTTCCTAATAATCAATTAGCTCGCGATCACCATGTCGCTTTTACATAGGGAAATAACAACGTGAGAGCTACAATTAATTTTACATAAAAGCAATGCTAAAATTTGTTAATAGTTCGGCAGTCTCTACGAATCTCGCCGTTAGCTGGAGTAAGTGATCCTAAGTTTCCCATTTTTAACATTGAATACTTGAAGTTCTCGAAGAAAGTGAATGGGTCTTCCACGTAGGTTTGGACAATCTGTCGTGTCTGATCATTCCCACTCACTAGCGTCTGGTCGGATGGAAGCAATCCCTCCCCAGAAAGAAGATTTACGTAGTATTGGTTGTCAAACGTGGCTGGTGTGTCCAGATCAAGATTTGCAACTCTGTTGTTATTATTCGACCCTGAGCACAACTGTTGCAATGATGCAATGAAATCAATATTATCATATGGACTATTCGAGATGCTGCTACTCTGTAAACGAGAGCTGAATGTTGTGCAGCGGGCTTTTCCTATTGTGTGCGCACCTGAAGAAAAAAAAAAAAATTAAAACCAAAGCAATGGTAATCTTGTTTCTCATTGACATGAAAGATTTGTATTAGCATGTGAATAACAAATACTAAAGATGATTAACCTGAGAGGGCAACCATGTCTTTTAGTGTAAGGCCTACATTCTCGAACTTAGTTACGAGCACATCGACAGTTGAGTTTGGGGCTGGGATGTTATTATTTGCTGCTTGCTTGCTTGCAGTCATACCGTCTTTCCTTCCCATCTGTACCTCCCAAATTGGGCCTCCTGACTGTAACTCAGCAGTTCAATATGCTTCATGATAGTCAGAATAATTGGGGAACAAAAAAGGTTAAGGGAAGAGAGAGGAAGGCGGGAATTACAAACCAGAACAACTGAATCTCGAGCAACAGTAGCCAGTATGTCGGCACAAGAGACAGTTTGTGGACATACTAGTTCTAGTTCAGATTTGATTTGGTCGATTACTTCAAATCCTCTGAGTGAATTCAAGTTAGGAGCTGCAGTCTTCTCACCAACAAAGTCCTGTGTGTCATCCAGCAAGACCGAAGCATCACAACCCTGAAAAGGGCAACAACATATTATTACAGTTAATGGGATTTGCAAAAGAACTTGAAAACATAATTAAAATGTGCAGGCAAATAATGTCTTGCATTGACAAAGCAATCGTGAAAATGTAGCCTGAGCAGTGATGCTGCCATTCTTGAGTCTTCAGAGACTGCCTGTTCCACCCAAGAGAAGATTATGGCCTCTGCTTCGGGGCAAGTGTATTGGTATATGTCAGTCCCTAATGGACAGCCAGTATCACCACCATAGGCTTCGTTCAGTGTGGTTGCAAATGCTGAAGTTATCTTGAGTATCACCAGACACAATAATGCTAATTGCATGCCCATATTTAGGGATGATAACTATTCCTAGTTATACTATATTCTGAATGTTAAGGAAGGATTATTGAATTGACATGTCGAACGCTTCACTTCTATATATAGGAACTTACTGGTGAACGAACTGCTTAGTGATAAAAAAGAGGCTAATTGGGTCATGCAAGCCGATCGTGGGGAGTAAGCTTTGTACGAAAAAAGGTGATCAAATTGTTAAAAGACACAGTCAAGCATGAGAAGTGGTGAGTACTGTGTGATCGATCACCTAACGCCATGTGCCTTTCGATTCCTTTTAGATTCTTTCCTGTGCTTCAGGTGTACCTAAAGTGGTAGTAAAGTTCAGTTACTATTGTATGACTTAGTCCTCGTTAAAGTAGGACCAATTAAAGGTTCAGTACATATTCATGGTCACTACGTTGAGAATAATTTTGGTGAGATTATCTTCTTCAAACCCGTTTCTATTTCTCACTTCCAATTTTCATGTCAAAATGAAGTTCCAACGCCACACAAAAAAACAGCCTACCTTGAAGTATTTAATGATAGTAATTAGTTTTGCAAAAATTAAACTAGTAGTTGGAAAATGAAAAAGAGTATAAAATATAGTGGCAGGTGCCCCGATTTGTGTACAAAAAAAGAGGTAGTAGGTAACTCTCGTATTCAAGTCATTTAAGTCAGTGATAACCAAAAATGAAACTCAGACCATCTTTGAACTTTTTAAAAAAAAATAAAAATTCCACTCTCTTGAAGTGGTAATAAATTGCTGCTTTCTTCTTATGGACATGTACATTGCATATGTAAATAGGTCAGTCATTCAGGGTAGCTTCCACTGCATTTTTTTTATTATTTTTTTGTCATGTCTGGCAGAAATGGAAATGCCACAATCCTCTTATGATGCACGGGCACCGAAACGGTTCTGCCATTGGCACTAAATCAACTTGGTTAATATTAAGATGGGTAAAAAAAGCAGACGGAAAAGATCTCTTGGTGTTATTTTATGGCCAGAAATTCTAAAGAGAAATAAAGTTTTACTGGAAAGCTACATCAATTACATCAGCCACCATAATACATGACGTTGATCCATCAATCTTGTGTAAGGATTCACATGGACACCTTTTGAAGATTCAAGCAAATTAATATTTATTAAATTTTATTACCAAAATAAATATTGTATTGAATTAGAAACTGATTTGGCTCCAATTTTATTCCACATTCACAAGCCAAACTCAACACGTCTCAGGAAGATGAAAATCATTTTAGAGTATTTATGGCCCAAAATGATTGAAAATAAGTTCAACGGTACCAGCCCAATTACAGTGAAATCATTAAGCTCACACAAAACTAACACATTTAATAAATAAGCAAAAACATTGATTTAGAGTTCTCAAGAGTGAGGCACTTAATGAAGATTTGAAGAATTGAAGCTTGAATGTTTGTAAGTGCTCATACAGATTATTTGAAAATATGGTGAAACACTTTTACAAAGTACATAAATGCAGTTAATAAAGAGTAATACGGTTCGATTCCTGGCCGTGCGTATGGAAAAGGCTTTGTTGGGAGAGGTTTACCCACTTAATGTGATCTCCCGCCTCAAAAAGATTAGTCTTCGGCTGGAGTATACCTTGAGAAACCAAAAAAGTAATACGGTGTCTACACAAAAATACTAAGATGTGCGAATATCCTTTTGACCTTTTTTTTTTTTTTTTTGCCCTAGTTATTATGTTTGGTATTGTAACTTCTTTCAAAGTTCATACCCCTTATCTTTCAAAAAAAAAAAAAAAGTTCATACCCCTTAATTTGACCTATGATCACCTACACTTGTTTGAGTCCTTACACTGAAGATATTAATTCCATCTACTTCATAAACATCTTCTATAGCTCTTAATATGCGCTAAACAATTTTGGATTTATCATGAAATTTTGCCCTTTCTAATAATTTCTAACAGCCAAAGGGTGGTCGGCACAAACATTTTCTAATGATTCAGAATCATCCATGGTTGTCTAATTTCTAGCTAGCTTGGAACTGATAGATATCCATTTTTGTGTCCCCTTGTTTGGGGCTTTTTTCATTTCAGAATCGTAATTATATAAAGTGACTATGAAGCATGAAAAGTTGAAGAGTTTTCGATCAAGAAGTTAACATCTTGGGTGCCAAATAACACACAAGGCTTTTGTCGGACAAATTCCTAAACTTGCAAATCAAGTAAGGAATAAAGAAATTGTTAAAGGACACACACTCACCCGAATTTTCCACCAATTTTGAAACTTATCTTAATGGGTGTGTCATCCAATCAAACATAAGGTTGCCTACATATATAAATTTAAAATATAAAGTAAACATATATTTTTTGCACGTAAATCAGGTGTGTTAATTTTATGGTGGCATTTAAGTGGCTAGTGAACGAGTAACTCTTTCAACTGGAGTTTGGATTCAGATGCTTCCAAGTTCCAACGAATCATATGGGTTGTATGCAAATGACAAGACCACCTTTCACTTCCTTGATTCGATTTCTTTAAAGCATCAAATTAATTGGCACTCCAACAGTTAGATTGCAAGTAGATACGACTTTTCTGTTGTGTGCCTTTAGCAATTCGATAACATAAAGTTTGATCGCTGGAAAGTTTGGGAATACAAGAAAAGTCACACTCCAAATTGCTTTAATTTATATAAGAAATTTTTTTCTTCATTGCTTCAAGCAGAGAATATTCATTCACCAGCAGCATGGTGGAAAAAAATGCATAAAGTTTCATCACATGGAATTTCTGTTCATTTTTATGAAGTGATTTCTTTCTTTCTATTTTCTTTATCCTTATCTGCCAGTGTTCATACTACTGCTTGCATGCCAATTTCGAAGAACTGATTATTCACACTTTTGCCTTTTAACATACATTATGGTTTGTGGGTATCATGCTTTTAAGATATTCCTATATACCATCTGTCTCTTGTTAAGGCAAGTTTCTAATTTCTAGTATGAATAAGAGAGACACATCGAGAGAATCCTTAACTCACAAGTTTCAAACCTATCTCTTCTTCCTCCTCGTTCACTTCTAGTTTATCTTAACACACACACACATACATTGTCTCACACTCCTACCAAGCTTAGAACTTGGTCTTATATTTTAAATTCACTTCAGACCTCTTGAAAATAATAACAAAGAGTATCACAAATTAATCCTCTCCATGGTACCACGAATTGGAAACTAAAAACCTCTAGAACAGCCAATTACAACCGTAGGGAGAAAAGTTCAAAATTTCCCAACTTTTTAACAAACTCAACCAATCAACTAATATGAATTTGACTAAGTCATGACTTCTTTTCAAATTCGTCGTGCCTAGAAGGGTACAAACAATTAGCATAATTATCATCCTCAGCCATCATAGAAATATTCTTTTGTTTCATTTTTTCTTGAAAAGAACTTCAATTCAATTTTTCCTAATACTGTGAGCTCCTCTATTTCAAAGATATTGACTATCATTGGGATTTGACTCTCTCAATAATCTATTGACGAATATGTATTTTGAAAACACTACGGAAAATTAGATGAACCAACATATATATTAGATAAAGACATATTTGAACTATACCTAGCTAACTAAATTTTATATCAAAAATATATGAAATTTTTGTTAACCTTTATTTAGGAGAAACTCTCCGATTTTCTTTTCTAGCTACAAGGGATCGAACATCAAAATAATTAATTAAAACCCCCCATGTCCCTTTAAAAAAAAATTGCCTTTTTCTCTTGTGTACGTTGGACTTAAGCTGTCCATATATACCTTGTGTGATCTTGAGAAGCGATAGAAAGCAATTAAACTAGCGATGGAATTCAATTGACATCATCTAATGCTACCTGTGTGACTATTTAGCATGTACATTATTCATAGGACTGGTTAAACCGAGTGAGTATGCAAGCAGCTATGGCATTCATGTGCGCTGAAAATTTCCATGCTGGGAAAGGGATATATATATAGTGGTATGGCCAATGACTTGTGATACTATTAAACTTGTATGCTAGGGCATGAGAACCATATATGTATGTTTTTGGCAATGCTTTTCTCCACAACAATATCTCACATCATCCATCTTTTTCCATCAACAAGAAACGAACCATGCTTTAGCTATTTCCTTACCAGGAAACACACATCATCATTGAATGGCTGAAGCCCATGTTTGTATGTAGCTTATAGGGGAAGATGATGAGAAAAGCCATCATACAAAAAGCTAAAAGGTACTGCTCAAGTAATAATGTTGCAACTTTTTCCATACCTCAATGCATTGTGTCAAGTCATGGGCCAATCATAACACACTCTCTCAAGTGATACAAAGTTTTCAGCTTTCTTTCTTAAACTTCTCTCATCATTGAGTTCCCAGCTCCCCCTTTGCTAATTAACTTACGTTCTTGACTTCCCTTTCCCCATAAAGTCTCTGCCATAAGTATCTGAGTGGGAAAAGATGCACCTAGCTACAAGATTTCACCACATGCAAGTAATGGAACAAATTAAGTGAAAACCCTAACCCTAAAAACATTGGGCTTTCCACCACCAATAATCCCATGGAACAAAAAAAAGACGGTCATGGGGGAAGGACTGAAGGAGAATAAATAATACGGATGACATTTTTTGGGTACATAATATAGATGACATGAGAAAAAGGACAAAATAAAATATTAATAAAAAAACAAAAAAGTAAAAACGGCTCATCGTCTAACATATCTCTAGTACTTACATAGAATATATAGCACATAGAAGGAATTAAAAGAAGAGAAAAAGTTATAAGTTGCAAAACCATAATCTAAAGTTGTCCCCTTCATCTAATTAACATTAAGCTACATTAAGGACATAGTCATTTAAAAAGTGAACCTCCAAAATGTTTCATATGAACATAAGCCAGCTAAATGGGGTTTCTCTATGGTAACCTCTACAAAACAAAACACCCCCAAAGAGGTTTTCATCACCTTCAGTTAGAGAACCAACCTTACATACCAGGTAATTAATATACACTAAAATAAAACTAATTAATTAATAAAAGCATAAGCATCATTGACCCAATATGAATATACTATTATCAGCTTAGCTACTTAATTATCTCCCATCTTCTCGTTCAACATCGACATATGCACAATGTCCTGAAGAAGCCCATTGTCCCTTAAAAAAGCCTGATGATCCTTCAACCCGCTAGAAGGTACAAAACCCTCATGATGATTCTCTTGATTCTGAAGGAAGCCATTAAACGAAGACGAATTCACATAATTACCAGAAGAGGTAGCAACATTCAAATTAGTTGGGGTGGATGAGTTCGAGTTATATAACAAAGATGCTGCTTGCTGCTGCACATTCTGGTGCTGAAACTGTTGGTGTTGTTGTGGCATCACAAAGTGTGGAGATTCAAGTCCAACAGCACCACTATTCGCGTTGGTGGGTCCGAACCTAGCCGCATCATGCATTAACCCGAGGCTAGCCGCACGTGTCGTGGCCGGACACGGGTGGCTGTGTTGGCCTTCGTAGGTGGTGACAACGACGGAAGTGTCGTCGGAGGATCGCTCAACCCGCTTCTTGACGCCGCAACCAGCGGTGGTGCAACGATAGTAGCTCCTGTTTTTTTTTTTTTTTTTTTTTGGTTTCACAAAAAAACATTTGCGTGATCCGCAAGGAAAATTTAGTACCCAAGAAAGGAAATTTGAATTAAAGAGAGTAACACAAAAAGGAAAGGAAAAGAAAGAGAAAGAATCAAAATTGAAGAATTAGAGAAATGAAGTAGGTACCTGGGATGAGGACTGTTTTTCACAGCTTTTTGGCCGTACTTACGCCACCTATAGCCATCGTCAAGATGATCCACATCGCTTTTTGTCATGAACGCAAACCTTGCTTCTTTTTGCTTCTTTTGGTTCTTCTTTTTTGGTTTCAGCCTAATTGTAATACATACCCACATAGATTTTGTGCAAAACCATTAATTAATCAATGCTTCTTTTAGCTTTCCTTTTTTTTTTCTTTTTTTTTTTTTCTCTTCTTTTTTCAAATCATAAGAATAAAAAAAATAAAAATAAAAAAGTTGAAAAAGTAGTGAAATGACACTAACAACGATGAGAACGCAACCCAATTTCAGTTCAATGAACAGACACAGAAACTGAAACTGCTTCCTTAATTCCTCTCACATGCCACAACTTACCACTCACCACTCTCTGTCTGTTTGCAACTGTAACTGACTTTATTTTTATTTGACACAAACACGCTTTTTTTAAGGAAACCAAAAAAACAAAAAAAATAAAAAATAGGGGTTATTATTACTCACTGTTTCTTAGTCTTGTCTTGATCTTGGTCGTCTCCTTTGCCTGCATCTCCGTCGTCATCTCCGTCCTCATCCTCTGCTTCATGTCCATTCACTGCTTTGCTGGCGACGGCGGCTTCGTTCGACGAAGACGAAATCGACGACGAGTTAGGGGTCGCCGGAGTGTTCACCACCTCGGAGCAGTCGGGGACATTGGAGCTGGCCGGCGACGGGAGAGGGTGGCTGATTTGGGTGGCGGAGGGTGGTGACTTTGCGGCGGGGAATAAGGTGGTAGTAGCATCAGAGTCATCGATGGTGTTGATGATGGGGAGCCAATCAAATATTGAAGGGTCAAAATCATTGTCACCGAGCAAGCCCACGAAGCCACCAAAGGAGGAAGCTTTTTGATCACATGAGGATGGTGGTGGTGGTAGCATCAAGTCGTCAAAGATGCTGGATAAAGTTGGTGATGATGATGATGATGATGAGAAAGGAAAATTGAAGGTGGTGGATGAGTTCATGGACATGTTCAGAATCTCATCGGAAAATGCGAGAGAATTTGCCATGGTGGATGTGTTCTCTCTCTTGTCCTCCATTGGTTTTGATGGATTTGTAGGTGCTATGTATCAATAAAAAGCTTTGCACATATTCCTCATTTTTCCTTTTTTGAAATCTTCTTTTCTGCTCAAAACTCCAAAAAGTGACCCCCTCTTAATAAATGTGAGCCTCTTAATTATATTTTACTTTGTTTCTATTAGTATGTCATAAAAGAGGAGATAGAGAGAGAAAGGGATAGTTTGGGGATTTTATTAATTTATATATTTGTTTTTAGAGAGAAGTGGTTGTCATTTTAAATGACATAAAATTATGTCATTTTAAGAGAGATAGATACAAGAAAATATTTTTTATTTAAAATTTAAATTAAAAAAAAAAATCACTCACTTTCTCTCTCATAACTTTCATTCCTTGTATCTATCTTTCCTAAAATAATATAATTTGTGACATTTAAAACATCAAATTTTTTTTAATTTTTTTGTTTGTGTGTGTGAAAGGACTTTTATGGATTGGTTGGGGTTGGGAATTTGGAAAACAGGTTGGCTTAGGGAGGTTTCCCACCTTAGTAATGACCGACATCTGCCGGTTTCCGATCACGCCGAGTTTTTACTGCGAAAGTGGACCGTTGCTGGGTCCCACTCGACGCGGATATTTGACTGGCAACCGGTTTGAGTGTGAACGGAGGGGATTGTACACGTGGTCTGTAAGTGAAACGCTTACGATCTGATCTTTTGCATGTGACGGTCCTGCCTGGCCCCCCTCCCCTTTCTGCATTGTTTCACATTTTCCTTTTCGCGGCAACGCTTTTTAACTTCTTATCATGCCAAATTCACCCTTCAGTTTCTTGAATTGATTGTTATGTAAATGTAACGTACCCTTCTGTCACATTTCTTTTCACTCTACAAAAATATGTATAACTATTGTGTAATAATCTACTCAAAAAAATTTAAAATAGATTTGCTATTACCCATTGATACTAAAAACGTGAGTGTAGTTTTGTCACAAGTTTTGGCTGACACACTCTATTTTATATGGATTTGGATTCTGATAATATTATTTGATCTCAATTATTTATTAATAATGAGATAAGAGAGAGAAAATTATATAATTTTGGAATAAATGATTATGATGAAATAACATGATTACTTTAGTGGTCATGTTATTTGATTTCAACCACTCATTGATAATGAGATAAGAGAGAGAAAATTGTATGATTTTTGAATGAGTGGTTGTGATCAAATAACATGACGGCATGATCACTTTTTTACATAAGAGGATCCAAATCTATTTTTCATGTGAAAAAGTGGTTATTTGAACATGTTATTTGATCATAATCACTCATTGATAATTAGATATGAGAGGGAAAAATATATGATTGTGTTAGTGTATATCCCCCTTTGAAATCATTCATTCACTATTTCTACCACGCTAGCTTGCAATGATGAATTCATAACTTGTAGAAAAAATTAATACTAGTTAATCATTTACACTGTTATAAAATGAAATTATTTCTAGCCAAAATATCATAGTAAAAATATAGGTGTATATATTAATTAGTCGTGTGACAGTCGGCAATTGACACAGCAAAATGGTGTTTGAGGAATTCCACGAAGGAGTTGAGTAATGAAAATCGTGAAAAAACAATAAATTACCTTCACATCTACGGAGTCACAACAATATATACGGGACAGTGACCAAAATGTCACGCTTTGACAAAAAATTATCAGAATGTCACGCGAACAGTAAAATTTTTCAAACTGTCACGCGGCATTATTCGCTACACAGTGTGGCGAATTATGTATGCAAGTAATTCGCTACACAGTGTAGCGAAATATGCCACATCAGAATGCACAGAACCAAAAAGTGTCATGTGTCAGAATTGTTGAAATTCGCTACATAGGGTAGCGAATATTCAACAATTTTGACACATGGCACTTTTTGGTTCTGACGTGGCATATTTCGCTACACTGTGTAGCGAATTACTTGCATGCATAATTCGCTACACTGTGTAGCGAATTATGCCGCGTGACAGTTTGAAAAATTTTACTGTTCGCGTGGCATTCTGATAATTTTTTTGTCAAAGCGTGGCAAAATGGTCATTGTCCCAATATATATACCTATAGTACATTGCGATGGAAGGTTTGCGCATTCATTAATTTCATTTTGCATGCAATTGGATCTTCATTTACTAACAACGTCATGGATCACACAACACAACACACATATAAGACTCTGTATACCCTTTAAATATGACATTAGCTCCCGTTTGGGTCTCAGCTTGGCTGATACAATAAATTTCTTGAAAATTTGTGTCAAACCTAGCTAGCTAGATAGCAAATCAATTTTTTAACCATGTTCTTGTTGAGAACCAACCTAGCTAAGCGGTTACTTCCAACTTTATATCATCAGCTTCAGCTTCACTCTCCCCATTCCCGGGTCAATAATAAATATTGAAACTCGTATAATAAATAAACATTGGATTCTACCACGACAGTTTTAAAATTCTGTTCACTGGTGGAGCTAGGAAGGATTATGATGGATGATCATCCTTTTTCAAGTTCATACAAGTATTTAGTTATAACCTACATCTATTTATTTATTTTTTATTTTTTTGTATAGATAGTGATTGTTCCCTTCAAGTTCATACAAGTCTTTAATTGTGAATATCATCTTTATTCTTTTGAATTTCCTGGAAACAACGTGCAAATTAACAAAACCACACAGGTAAATGTCAGGAGCCGATATGTTCGCATTTGTGTTGAATTGGATCTTACCAAACCTCTAAAGGCATCTCATGAATTTGAAGAAAATATTCGAACGATCGAATACGTGATGCTTTTCAATTTGGGTTTATGTTATAGACTTGACAAAGGCCCACATTCTAAAAGGTCCAAAAAAAGCTAACTAAAAAAGAAAATTAAGGAAAGATTCATTAATCATACTAATTCTACTACAACAACAATGGATTAACAACTGGACCCTCAATATTTTTAAGAGGCCAGAAGTACACTCCTATCATGTAACCCATCTATAAATAAGGGTTTAAGCTAATAAGGTATACAAACTCTAAACCCTCTCTCTCTTAACTTGTCATTGAGCAAATATTCCACCCTTTGACTACTCCATTTAAATTATAGCGAACAGTGATCCGTTGATCTCTAGGGCACCTCCCTCATAGGTAGCTGAAAGAGGGCAAACAGATCCAACAGAAATATATCAACCATTGAGTTAGACATCACGATCTATTAGATTGGAAGAGTTTCAAAAATGACAAATATAGCCACAATAAAGACAATTGCCATCACAACAAATGATCAAAATGTCGTTAATCAAAAAGAGGATTTAGAAGTACAATAGATTGTGGGCTTGAGACCATAGCTGTTTGTTAATAAGAAAAGAATATTAAAAATGGTTGCTCGTGTAGCCTAAAAAAGGTGACCACAAAGGAAACCAAGATATCTAACCAAATCCAAAGTCCTAGAGATGGCAAAAAAAGTACAAAAGAAACTCCAAAAATCCTCATGGTCGAGTCGATATTTGAAGATTTTGTTGAGTTTAGTGATAAGAAAGAAGCAAAACACAATGGAGTTAGTGAGGAAAATGTAACCTCTATATCTAACATATCAGCCATAAAATGTTGGCCGAACAATCACACATAAAATTGCAAAACAAAAAAGAGAGAAGGAAAAAAATAGTGGAGACACAGATTCACTCTAGTCACCTAGAGGACGTTTGGGACAGGAGAAATTTTTTTTTATCCCGGAAAAAAAATTTGCGGATAAATACTTAGCAAATTTTTTTACGGGATAATTTGCAAAAAGATGTTTGGTAGCCCAAAAAATTTGAGAGGAAACTTGGATTAATTTGACTAACTATGTTTGGTTGATTATAAAAAAATGATGGGAATCCTTACCAAAATTACCAAATTACCCATACATTTTCTCTCACCCCTCTGTTTATATCTAGGGCTAAGGGTGTTTTTGTCTTAAAAACTTGGAGCCATTTTTCCCCCGCGTCGGCAATTCCTTTTTCCACATTTTCAATGGCAAAGTTCAGCAATATAAAATGGTGGCAAACAACTTGACTGCAATTGAGTTTCCAACGGACAAACTTTTCATCCCCTACCAAACACAACAAATTATTTTTCCATGCCACACTTTCCATGGCAAAAAAAATTTGGCTGCGTACCAAACGCCCCCCTAGTGTAGGCTATGTCCAATAATATTTAACTATATTTTTTCCACTGCACTCATTACTAAGCATTCTATTTAGAAGGAAAATATTAATAGACTTAGAAACCCCAAGCAACCGTCCATATTCATGAGTTCAAGCTTATATTACTAAAAAAGAAAAAGAAAAATCACAAGACCCACAATAGTACTAAGCTTCTGCGATCTTGGGGGTGTTGCTCCTAGGGGTGAAACTGGGTCGGGCCGGCCTACAAGGGCCTTCTGCTCGGCCTACGTCAAGCCAAACCTGACCTAATATATTTCGTAAAATAGGTCGGGTTTGGGCCTTGAAAAAGCTTGTTTAATAAATAGGTCGTAGGCCCACTTTGACAATGCCTGACCTATAAGCCTACAGGCCAACCTATATTGTATTATTTATTTTAAATAAAATAAAATAGAATAAGTATGCCTTGAAAAAAAATAAAAGATATAAATTTAATCAATTGCAATTATTTATAACTCAATTATATTCGATTATATTTTAATAGAAATCAGACTTTATTTCTTATGTAGGAGGAACCAATATCTCAGCATGTTAGATTATGTATATGAATATATTAAAAAAAAATTGGGAGAGGCTATACTTACTATAAGCATCATGATGTGTTTGTTGGATTCATGTAGTTATTCTAATTTACATAATATGGATTTGTTTGTTGGATCTTATGAAATATATGTTATTTAGTTTAAGCATTTTGCTTTTAAAAGTGACTTAAATGCAGATTGTGATGAGTTTTGTTGTGATTCATGATTCTGTTTGAACGTTGAAATTATGATTTTTGGTTTAGCAACAGAATTTGAGTATTTTGTGAAGTTGATTCATTAACAGGCTAATGGGCTAGGCCAGACCATTTGTTTTTTTAT